GAGCCACCGAGCCTGGCTCCTTTTTTTTTTTTTTTTAAGTTGGAGTCTCACTATCACCCAGGCTGGAGTGCAGTAGCACGCTCATGGCCTCTACAGCCTCGACCTACTGGGCTCAGGCGATCCTTCTGCCTCAGCTTTCCAAGTAGCTAGAACCACAGGCATGCACCACCATGCCCGACTTAATTTTTTGTTTTATTGTAGAGACGAGGTCTCACCAAGTTGCCCAGGCTATTCTCGAACTTGTGGGCTCAGGCAATCCTCGCGCCTCTGCATCCCAAAGTTCTGGGATTATAAGTGTGAGCCACCATGCCCAGCCAGGAGGCCAGTAGTTTGAGACCAGCCTGACCAACATAACAAGACTCTCCCCATCTCTACAAAAAAATTTTCTTTTTTCTTTTTGAGTCAGAGTCTCACTCTGTCACCCACGCTAGAGTGCAGTGGCACACTCACAGCCACTGCAGCCTCGACCTGCTGTCGCCTCAGCCTTCCAAGTAGCTGGAACTACGGACATGTGCCACCATGTCTGGCTAATTTTTTTAATTTATTGTAAAGATGTGGTCTTACCAAGTTGCCCACGCTGGTCTTGAACCTGTGGGCTCGAGTAATCCTTTCTCGCCTTGGCCTCCCAAAGTGCTGAGATTGTAAGTGTGAGCCACCACACTCGGCCTCTACAAAAAAATTTTTTAAATACTAGCCAGGTGTTGAACACCGGTAGTAAGTAGTCCTGGCTACTTTGAAGGCTGAGGTGAGTGGATCATTTGAACACAGTAGCTCGAGGCTGCAGTGAGCTGTGATTGTGCCACTGTACTCCAGCCTGGGCGACAGAACAAGAGCCTATCCCTAAAAAAAAAAAATTATCAATATTTTGAATTGTCCCTGCCTACGAACAGTACTTGGGCACCAACACAAGTCAGCTAGAGTAAGCAGGAGAAAGAGGTCCCACCGAGAGAGAAAAAGCCCATCTGAGACATGGGTTTCCCCCAGTGGAGAGATCACTACAAGGGTGTGGCCTGGGTTTTAGCTTTGTGGGTTTATTAGTTTGTGCAGGCGTGATCAGGTCTTTGGGGATTGATTCACATTAACCAAGATCACCAGATGCTGATGTATAAACTGAAAGGCCCGTTTAATATCTCCCAGGGGGACTATAGCTTCAGAGCAGCCTTCAATACAGTAGGCTCTGGAAATGCACAGCTGTGGCTATGTTTGAATAAGCCCTGGCTTTCTCCACATCGCATTCCAAACACAGTCTTGTGTTTCCCAAGTTTTTTCTGGAGCAGCTCAGGGTGGCGAATCGATGGTCATTTGCCCCCGAGCTAAGGGCCTTCTGTCCTACACCAGCTTTGCCTCACACACACTGCAAGCGTGTCCTCCACAAGAAGTGGCCGGCCACAGTATGGCAGTGCTTCTTAGTGGCTCACAAATAGCATTTAACCTCCCAGTGCCACCCCGGACTGGCAGTCCATGTTCTCTCTTGTTGGGAAAGTCGGGCTTAGAATCTCAGCTCCCCTCCTTTGAGGCATGGGACATGGGAACGAAGGGCACCAGGTTTGTGAAGGGGACATTGCCCAAATTTTGAGTCGGAGTCTCACTCTGTTGCCCAGGCTGTAGCGCAGCGGTACACTCACAGCCACTGCAGCATCGACCTGCTGGGCTTAGGCGATCCTTCCGCCTCAGCCTTCCCAGTAGCTGGAACTATAGGCGCCCACCACGCCCGACTAATTTTTTGATTTATTGGAGAGACGAGGTCTTGCCATGTTGCCCAGGCTGGTCTCAAGCCCGTGGGGTCAGGCAATCCTCTCACCTCTGCCTCTCAAAGTACTGGGATTACAGGTGTGAGCCACTGAGCCCAGCTGGGGGGATGTCTTTTTAAAGACTTCATCTCTTACTAGTTATGTGAACTTGGGCAAGTTACTTCTCTAAGCCTCAGTTCCCCATCTGTACAATGGGGACAGCTACTACAGCAGGTTGATATGAGGATGAAATGAGTTAATATTTGAAAAGTGCTGAGAACTATGGCACATTGGTAGAGTTTGCACAAGTGTTTGTTAAGGTTGTAAATAAGTAAGGTCTGTCCCAGGTATCCATCCCCACTGTACCTGCTTCTCAGGTGAGAACACTGAGTCACTGTGTGGTAAAAAGGTAACAAACGTGATGGACAGTCAATGGTGGAATCAGAATTTGAACCAGGCTGTTCTGGCTCCAAAGCCTGGGATCTTAACCACGAGCTAAAGAGAATAAGAATGTCACTGAGGCCAGACATGGTGGCTTATACCTGTAATCCCAGCACTTTGGCTGAGACAGGAGGATTGCTTGAGCCCAAGAGTCTGAGCCCAGCCTGGTCAATGTAGCAAGACCTCATCTCTACAAAAACTTTTTAAAATTTGCCGCATGTGGTGGTGATTTTCATCTGTGAGCTGTAGTCCTCATGATCGTGCCACTGCACTCCAGTCTGGGTGACAGGGTGAGACCCTGATTCAAAAAAAAAAAAAAAGTTGCTGGGCCCTCCAGAGCCTCCTGACATAGCTGTGTGGGCTGCTGGGGTCCTGGGTGTAGAGGTGGCCCAGCCTCAAGGAACAGCTGTGCTCTAGCCAGTCTCCCTGTTCTCTCCTCATGCAGAAAGCGGTGAGTTGTCCTGCCAGCGCTGCTGCTGTGGGCGGGGGGGCTGGCGCTCTGAGGCTGATGCGCCCTGCCCTCTGCCCCCACCCAGAAGGAGGAGAGGGCCCCGTCGCCCCCCGTGGAGGTGGACGAGCCCCGGGAGTTTGTGCTCCGGCCCGCCCCGCAGGGCCGCACGGTGCGCTGCCGGCTGACCCGTGACAAGAAGGGCATGGATCGGGGGATGTATCCCTCCTACTTCCTGCACCTGGACACGGAGAAGAAGGTGGGTGGGGAGAGGCGGCTGGCAGGGAGCCCTGAGGGGCCGGCCAGGGCCATGGGACCCATGGGCCTCCTCTCTCCCCGTGGTTTACCTCTGTCCTCTCCCACCTCTTCCCCATGCCCTCACCTGTCGCCCCTTCTCCCCAGGTGTTCCTCTTAGCTGGCAGGAAACGGAAACGGAGCAAGACGGCCAATTACCTCATCTCCAGCGACCCCACCAACCTGTCCCGAGGAGGGGAGAACTTCATCGGGAAGCTGAGGTGGGGCTGGGGGCTGGGGTCAGCAAGAGGGCCTTGGCCAGTCGTCTTGTCCTATGGGGCCGGGCCCACCACGCTGGACACTCTGGGAATGTCTCCCAGCCAGGACCTCTCACACTATGATGTGCACGGATCACCTGCCTTGTTAAAATGACTCAGTGGATCCGGCTACTCGGAAGGCTGAGGCGGAAGGATCGCCAGAGCCCAGCAGGTCGGGGCTGTGGTGGCCGGGAGCGGCCACTGCACTCCAGTCTGGGCGACAGAGTGAGACTCCAACTCAAAAAAACAAACAAACAAACAAACAAAAAAATGACACAGTGGCTCTGGGGTGGGGTCTGCGTCTCTAACCCACACCCAGGTGATTCCCACACTGCTGGTCCAGTGGCCTTGCTTGAGGTGAGCCTCTGCATCAGGCCTTATTTTAATTATTATTATTATTTTTTGAGACAGGGTCTCACTCTGTCGCCCAGGTTGGAGTGCAGTGTTGGAATCCTAGCTCTCTGCAGACTGGAACTGCTGCTCCCCCTCAGTCTCCTGGGTAGCTAGGACTACAGGCAGGCGTCACCATCACCATGCTCAGCTAATTTTTCTTTTGGTAGAGATGCAGTCTCCCTATGTTGTGATCCCCCTGTCTTGACCTCCCAAAGTGCTGGAATTACAGGCATGAGCTACCGTGCCCGGCCTATTTACGTATTTAACAAAAATTTTATTTTATTTTTATTTATTTATTATTTCATTTTGAATTGGAGTGACTCTGTTGCCCAGGCTGGAGTGCAGTGGCATGCTCATGGCCACCCCAGCGTCAACCTGCTGGGCTTAGGTAATCCTTCAGCCTCAGCCTTCCAACTAGCCGAAACTACAAGCACATGCTACCACACCTGACTAACTTTTTGATTTATTGTAGAGATGAGGTCTCACCATGTTGCCCAGGTTGGTCTCGGACCCACGGGCTCAGGCAGTCCTCTCGTTTCGGCCTCCCAAAGTGCTGGGATTATAGGTGTGAGCTACCACACCCGGCTCTTAACAAAAATTTTATTTTATTTTTATATTTACTTTTTTTTTTTTTTTGAGTTGGAGTCTCACTCTGTCGCCCAGACTGGAGTGCAGTGGCCGTTCCCGGCCACCGCAGCCTCGACCTGCTGGGTTCCGGCGATCCTTCCGCCTTAGCCTTCCAAGGAGCTGGAACTACAGGCGCGCGCTACCACCCCCAGCTAATTTTTGATTTATTGTAGAGATGAGGTCTCACCAAGTTGCCCAGGCAGGTCTCGAACCCACGGGCTCAGGCAATCCACTCACCTCAGCCTCCCAGAGGCGTGGGATTACAGGCTGAGTCACCGAGCCCGGCTTATATTTACTTTTTTGAGTTGGAGTCTCACTCCATTGCCCAGGCTGAAGGGCAGTGGCACACTCACAGCCATCCCAGTGTTGACCTGCTGGGCTCAAGCAATCCTGCTGCCTCAGCCTTCCAAGTAGCCGGAACTACAGGCGCACGCGACCATGCCCGGCTAATTTTTTTGATTTATTGTAGAGAGGAAGTCTCGCTAAGTTGCCCGGGCTGGTCTCGAACCCATGGGCTCAGGCAATCCACTCGCCTCGACCTCCCAAAATGCTAAGATTACAGGCTGAGTCATTGATTGAGCCCTGCCTAACAAAAATTTTAAAAGGTCTATCTCTTTGTCATGCATAGTTCTAAATGACTTACAAATATTAACCCACTTAATCCTCTTGTTGTCCAAATGAGGGAAATACTGTTGTTATGCCCATTTTATGAATGAGGAAGTTGAGGCTCAGAGTTTAAGTAACTTGCCTAAAATCCCACAGCTAGTTAGAGATGGAGCTGGCATTTATACACTGCCTAGTCTCCTTGTAAATCCAGCTTGTTAAAAAACCTTCCCGTAGGGGTAAGCCTGGGGCAGGACATGAATTGCTCAGTCCTAGGACACCCCCTCCCCTTACACAGGAAGCACTGGAGATTGCTTGGCTGTGCGGAGGGGTTTGGGCAGGGACGTGGGACCCCGTCAGCTCCCCACTGCTTACAGGTCCAACCTCCTGGGCAACCGCTTCACTGTCTTTGACAACGGGCAGAACCCACAGCGTGGAGGGAGCAGTAACGTGGAGAGCCTGCGGCAGGAGCTGGCAGCTGTGATCTATGTGAGAACCCCCTTCCTCCCAGGTTGGCCTCCCCACTCCCAGGGGCTGGCCTCACGGGCCTCTCCCTCCCAGGAAACCAACGTGCTGGGATTCCGCGGTCCCCGGCGCATGACTGTCATCATCCCTGGCATGAGTGCGGACAACGAGAGGGTCCCCATCCGGCCCCGAAATGTGAGCTTTGTACCTCCCTGGCCCCTGTCCCTGGGGGTCCTGCTCCCTGTGAGACCCACTTTGGGGAACAGAGGGGCGGGGGCTCAGCGTACCCCACACCAAGGCCCCTGAGCACGTGTGTCACCCTCCAGCGCAAATTCATTCTGGCAACCTGTGGCATGGATGTGGTGGGTTTTGGGTGGTGGGATTCACTAAAATAACCATAGTGGGCTTTGGAGGTTTTTTCTGAGTTTACATCAAATTCACATGTTACATCCATTCACATCTTCACTGAACACACACACTGAGTGCCAAACATCATTCTAGGCAGCCGGAAGACATCAGTGGACTAAAGGAGGCTCTGCCCTCTTGAGGGCTTTCTAGTGGGAGGGGACAGTCATCGTGATAAAAAGCGAATTATGGGCCAGGCTCGGTGGTTCAGCCTGTAATCCCAGCGCTTGGGGAGGCTGAGGTGAGTGGAATGCCTGAGCCCGCAGGTTCGAGACTCACCTGGGCAACTTGGCGAGACCTCATCTCTACAATAAATAAAAAATGAGCCAGGCGGGTGGTAGTGCTCACCTGTAGTTCCGGCTTCTTGGAAGGCTGAGGTGGAAGGATCGCCGGAGCCCAGCAGGTCGAGGCTGTGGTGGCCGGGAGCGTGCCACTGCACTCCAGTCTGGGTGACGGAGCGAGACTCCAACTCAAAAAAAAAAAAAAAGCAAATTATGGAGCATGTTAGAAGGTGACAAGTGCCATGAAAGACAGAAAAGGTCAAATGGAGGAGGGGAGAGGACAAGGGTGTGTGTGTGTGTGTGTGTGTGTGTGTGTGTAGGTTTCCACATTAAATGCTGTCATCTGTGATTTCCATATTAAATACCATGATCAGTGATTTCCATATTAAATACAGATCACCTTCCCTGTGAGGCAGCAAGCGTGCAGGTATCTGTGGGAAGAGCATCTGGGCAGAGGGAAGGGAGCCAGAGCAACGGCCCTGAGGCAGGAGGGTGCCTGGTGGATTTGAGGAACAGCAAGGTAGCCAGTGTGGCTAGAGGGAGATGAGGTGGGAGATAGGGAGTCCTAGCAGGGTTTTGAGCAAAAGAGTGACATGACTTGTGTGTGTGTGTTGTTTTTGAGTCAGAGTCTCACTCTGTCGCCCATGCTGGAGTGCAGTGGCATGCTCCCGGCAACCGCAGCCTCAACCTGCTGGGCTCCAGCGATCCTTCCGCCTCAGCCTACCAAGGAGCTGGAACCACAGGCGCGTGCCACTATGCCCGGCTAATTTTTAAAAATTTATTGTACAGATGTCCTGGGTCAGGACATGAATTGCTTAGTCCTAGGACATCCCCTCCCCTTACCAGGTTGCCCAGGCTAGTCTCAAACCCTTGGGCTCAAGCAATCCTCTTGCCTGTGCCTCCCAAACTGCTGGGATTACAGGCATGAGCCACCGCGCCTGGCTTACTTGTATTTTTTTTTTTTTGAGTTGGAGTCTCACTGTGTCGCCCAGACTGGAGTGCAGTGGCCG